ATCACATCAGCTGTTAGTTTCGTTTAGTTTTGGTAGATGGCGCAGCAGCAGTGAATCTATTTGAGTTTTGCCAGCGCCACCAGCAGGAGTGGGGTGGCCTAGTGTGTTAGGTGCATGACGCTCGATCAAGAAGTCGCGGTTCGAATCCCGATCGGTGCAACACTGATGTTAATTTTTTTTAATTGTTTCAAAATATTTTTATATTTTCATAAATGCGTTTTCTATTTAATTTATATTTTTAAATACACCGAAATTGAAATTTTAACTATACTTTATGTGCGTTTTTAATAGTTTGGTTATTCTAGCAGATTCTTAGAATCACATCAGCAGTTAGTTTCGTTTAGTTTTGGTAGATGGCGCTGCAGCAGTGAATCTATTTGAGTTTTGCCAGCGCCACTAGCAGGAGTGAGGTGGCCTAGTGTGTTAGCAGCGTGACGCTCGATCGAGGAGTCGCGGTTCGAATCCCGATCGATGCAACTGATGTTAATTTTTTTTAATTGTTTCAAAATATTTTTATATTTTATTAAATGAGTTTGGTATTTTATTTATATTTTTAAATACATTGAAATTGAAATTTCAGCCATACTAAATGAGCATTTTTATTTGTTGGGTTCAGGGTAGTATCTAGTCGAGCACTCTCGACTAGAATTTTCTTACTTGTTATTTGTTGGGTTCAGGGTAGTATCTAGTCGAGCACTCTCGACTAGAATTTTCTTACTTGTTTTTTTAAGTATCATTTAAAAATCGGTTCATAGTGTGCGGGATATCTGGATTTCTTTCGCCAGACGACGCTGAAAAAGAAAAGAAAAACAAATAGATTTTTGTTAAAATTAGCATAGTAAGTATTATTTGCATAAGTCTGTGAGCTACACACAGCAGCAAGATTATCGCCAGCCCAAACAGATTGGCGCTGATCAGGTTGAAGAAGCCCGGCGCAGTGCTCAGCGTGAGCGTATAGAAGATGATATACAGCGTGGACGAGGCGAACGGCGAAAGCGTCTGCAGCACGCTCAACAGCGCAAAGACTTTGCCTGCAATACGAAGTGAAGAGATACAATCGACTAGAGAGAGATACAAGCAAGTCGAGATACATCAAAGTAGAAATTGGTGTACCTGCATATACTACTATTAGATACATTGAAATATAAAACAAAGATACGAATCTAGCCCGAAGCGCTATCTTGTTACATAAGAATCGTATCTTTCAGATACATATGAATGGGAGCGCCAATAATGTTTCTGAAACATTGAAATGCCATACAGAGATACGAATGTGTGTAAAGGTACAGTTATATCTAAGAGATGTATACACATGTCGTACGTATCTGAAAGCTACAAATGTAGCTCAAAGATAAGAATTCAACTCAAAGATACAAATACAGCTCACACAAACCTCGCTCATCGGCTGGCAAGAGATTCGTTATCATCGTGCGGCACATGGGATTCACCAGGGATTTGAAGAGGCCCAAGCCAATCGCTAGATAGATTTGCCAGTCAACAAAGGCAAAAGCTTTCATCAGACTGCTCGCCGCGTGACTCAGGAGCGAGATGAGTGCCAGCCACAAAATGGCTGATCCGCTGCACTGCAAGCCAGAGTAAGTGATTAACCAATGCACAGTTGGATGACAAAGGGGAGTCCCACCTGGCGCAGCAGCCATAGAAACAGAATGCCACCCGAGCCGGCCACAGCGGGCACCAGAATGCTCACCGACTCATAGCTGGTGAAGTCACGTACGCTCCAATGGAACTTGGCGCGCATGAACAGATAGAAGACGGAGTTGCTGCCATCTTAAAGTGAGATAGATAGATAGAGAGAGAGAGAGAAGATATAGTTAGGGATACTAATTTGTAATAGTCAACCCACTCACCCGACACAAAGGCTGTGAGCAGCAGCACACACATCAGCAGCACGAGTATGGGGCGATCCTGGAAGAGACGTCCCCTCGCACAGCTTTGCCACAACTCCCGCACGACGAAGCCTTCGGAGAGCTGTCGCTGTGGCAAACTCTCGGGCAGCAGGGCGGCCATGAGGAACAGCGCAAACAATATCGAAGCAGCTGAGATAACAAAGATAACGTAGGCATTGCTGGCCTCATAGACGTAGCCAGAGGCAAAGCTGCCCAGCAGCAGGCCCACATAGATGCACAGCTCATAGGCGATCATTCTACGAGTATATAAAGGTGAGAGAGAAAAAGATGTCGTTGAGGTAGGTCAAGTGTATCTTAAAGTTAATCAAAGATAGAAATGTATCTTCCAATATTCCGAATAAGATTAAAATGTATCTTTAAGATTATTAACAGCCGAAAAAGTCAAAGATAGATATATATTTCATTTTCCTCTCTCTCACCTATAGGATCTCATTTTGCCCGTGGAGACATCGCCTATAAAGCAAACAGCAGCCACGGAGTAGGTGACGCTGTTGCCCAGCAGCGAGAGCGGAATGATGGTTATCACGTAGAGCCAAGGGCTAACCAGTCCATGGCGTTGCATAGACACATACGCGATAGCAGCGGAAAGTATGTACTGTAGAGCATAGCCTAGAGACGAAGAGAGAGATGAAGATAGAGCTGAGGTTAAAGTTAGTAATAAATAACTAGGTCCACCTAAGTAGGAAGCCAACAGCAGAGGCTTGCGTCCATAGCGATCCGCCAAGGCGCCAATGAATAGACCACTGAAGGCGGGCACAATGCATTCGACGATCTTGATGGTTAGGAAAACTCGTGCTGCGTAGGGCTGGACCTCAGCTTCGATGCGCTTTGTCTCATTCGTGGTATTTCGTGTGCCCAGCAGGCTGCAAAGCGTTTCCGGGTAACCAAAGCCCGCCGTGCAGCTCTGATAGATGATCTGAGTTTTCAATATGGTGGCTGGAATACAAGTAACGATTAGTTGCATATAGTTTATGCGGTAGCAAGACTTACAGGAGAAATTATATGAGAAGAGCAAGATCAAGATCAGCGGCTCCAAAAGAAAAGTACTTGGCTGTGCGCATATCTGGGCAGCCGCTCCCGGATTGGGCTCTCGATTTTGATCTGAATTGGGCTCAAGGCTGACAGTTGGCACTACAGCATCCTGCTCGTCAAGGCTTGCCTCACTGATGCTGCTAGAACTATTCCGGCTGTCTGCATCATGGCTATGCCGCTGGGATTTGCCGAACAGGCTTTCATGGGCGTGTGGTGCTTCCTCCATAATCGATTTGCAACTGAGCCGTATGCAAAATTGCTTGAGTTGCTCATTTCAATTGACTTAAAGTTGCGTTGCTTTCAGATAAAGAGCCGACATTCTGTATGCATGTATGCGTGGGGGTTTCCATTAGGACAACCGCAATGTTTATATTCGTATATGTGTGTGCGTGCAAGCATACACTTGTTTATCGTCGTTTGATCCAATTGATGACTCAGCAGCGAAGTCGAACGACCAAGCTACGATTTAACTGCTGAACGTGCCTTATCTTAAGCTAACAACTAACTTTAATAAAGCCCTTTTAACAAACAAGTACTACCAGCCGTTTATTGTGTTTATCAAGTTTTCAAGTAAATAATTAAAATAAACTCTTGAGAGCACTACGGAATTCTGATTCACCTAGGTTTTGAATTACATTTTTCCATTTTTTGAATATTGGCGGGCAAATCCCAAATCCCAAAAGCAAGCCAAATTTGCTAAATAAGCCAGCTTTCCAAAAGCAAACATACTAAGCTAAAATACCAAATTTCGATTAATGTACAAGCTATCGACTTTGAATTGATAAATCGAAAAGAAACCACCAAATGGAAGACCACGGAGATCTGCAGTCCTTGCTTTTGGCAACCAAAACAGGAAAGGAAATTTCTGAATATCACATTAAATTGCTGCAAAAACAAAATATTCGAACGGTGGAAGAGTTCGTGCATGCAGAAAAGCTGCACACGAGACTCGCGCTGAGCAACGATAAAACGGAGCAAATTAAGCGGGAGATCTTGGATTTGTGTGTGCGCAGGATTAAGTTTAAAGCAATCTATAAATGCGAACCCATAACCTACTCCACAGGCATAGAAGAGTCAGTGTGTGAATACAGTTCATTTGTTTCGTAGGTATACAAAATATATTTTGCAGATTGGATAACCTCTTGGATGCGATTGGTCAGCCTTTGCGGCCTGGTCGTGTTTGGGAGCTCGTTGGGGAAAATGATGTGGGAAAAACCGAACTGCTACACACGCTGGCTGTGAATTTCGTTTGTAAACATGATGACAACCAACAGGTGCTGTTTGTGGACACCAATTTGGACTTTGATAGCGAACGTCTAGATGAGATCCTGCGGGAGAAGCAGCTAACTGACGAAGCTATAGATAACTACTTAGATAGGATTAGTGTGATTAAAGCATGCACGGCAGAAGCTTTGCTGGCAGCTCTTCAAGAACTGCTCAGAAGGCTAACAAGCTCTAAGGGAAGCTCTGAGAGTGTCTCGGACATAAAGCTGATCCTCATAGATTCCCTGACAGCTTGTTATATTCTATATCGCAGCAGCTATGACCGGAATAAGGGACGCAGCTTTCTATCAGAGCTGACCGTGGTTATACGCAAGCTAGCTGTGGAGCATGGCATGGCTTTTATCATTAGCAATGCGACATTTAGTTTGGATGAAGAATGTGAGCGAAATGATTTATGCTTAGTTTTATATATACATATGTTATCTCAATATACAGCAGCTGCAGATGATGATGAGCAGGAGTTGAGCCATATAGGAGCTGTGAATCCAGAGGATTGCAACTACTTGGGGGACTACTGGAGCTCCGTTTGTACACTCATCTTGTCGCTGGAGCTGCCAGAGGATTCTGTACAGGAGAATGATCTGCGTGTGCTTAAAGTGCTTAGTAATAGCTGTGGCATCGGCGAGGGCAGCTGTTGGTTGCGCCTGACGGATGCTGGCATCATTTGAAACCTATTTAACGTCTAGCTCCTGCTCCCAGTTGCTGTTGCTGGTACGATTTCATCACTCTTTTGCCCGGTTCTATGCCATCGCTCAAACCAGGTCGTTTCCTCTTATTGCCAGCAGCGCTTTTGTTAACTGTTGTTGCTGGCGCTTCCATCTTAGGCTCATTTCCATCAGCCACAGCCTCAACGGAGAGATCCGAGTCGTGCGCATATTGACAGCTGGTGCCGAAGCGACAGCGTCCTTTTCTATAATTCCAACAAATTTTTCGTCCATTTTTCAACTGTAAATGTGCATCGTTGTTGACCATTTTCACGTGTCTTTCCAGTGAAGCGGTCTTGTGCAGCTCTGCATCCAGAAATGGATTACTAAATACATCGCCGGTTCGTTTTGCAGCCGCATTATCCAGAGCATCGCTAGCACTGGGCAGCTTTATGGGTTTCTGTGTGGCAGGCGGGCTGAAATTTATACTTTTATAAATACTAATTGTAAATATATAAATACTGCTTTTTCACCTTGACTTGTTGTTTGTTTCCTCTTTTTCTGAGTCACTGCTGCTGCTTTCCACATCGGATTCAGATGAATCGCTATAATCAGCGACAAGCGACATTGTTTACGTTTTCAACAATAGACAGTGTGACCGAGGTGCACAGCTACTAAAAAATGCCAACATGCACTGTTTATAAATATACTAACTGGAATATACCGCATATAAATGCAATTATGGAAATATATAACGGAAAATACCAAACAACTGAGGCAAAAAACTTTTATTTGAACAACTTATATTCTGAACATTTCATTCATTTGTAATGAGTCTGCTTTATTTCATAATACATATGTATAATCACTTTATGCATGCTTTAGTTAAGGTGTATATGTATGTATATATGTGTGTATATATATGTATATGTACGTGTGTAATGTGTAATTAGCTAATTACTATTTATACAATTTATATAAATATAAAAAATTAAACGTTTCATAGACTTTGTTACAGATTTGTTAATATGTTATGGTTTGTTTTGTTTTGTTATGTTTTGTTTCGATTGATTGCTGACAGCCACATCTCACTGCTCTGTGTAAAAAAACATTTAATACAATAAAGGAAATCAGTTGCAATCTCCCCGTCGATCAGGGAAACCCTCCGCACCACTCATAACTTCTGCTTGGCTTTCGCGTGGCTGATGAGGCAGATGAGGAGACGCTAATCAATTTGTTGGCGTGCCGACGGATCATCGCGATCAATGGGCGGCGGCGAGGTAAGCACTTCAACGTTTTGCGCTGGTCCGGCGGTCAAATAGCCAGCCGTTGGATTGATGCCTGAAGGCGAAGAATATGTTAGACATGGCTTAATAGATATACAGCTGATCTCTAATGCATTACCCGTTAAGTAGCCACGTATGTTGGTGTCTGTGATAAAGAGATCATGTCGCTGATCCTTAAATTCCGCCCAGACGGGATGCTTGAGCAGGATTTGCGTGACACGATCGCCGTAATTGAGATTGTGGGTCATGCCCTTGAGCGCAGCGACAATTTGTGCCTTGACCGCGGATGCATTGTCCACAAATTCCAACCGACTGTCCAAGAGGCCCAACAGGAAAGGTATGAGACCTACCTCCAGTGACTGGCTAATCAGAGAGTCCTAAAACAGAACGAGTCAATGCTATAGTCAGATATTCTCGTTTAACTTCTGGTCAGCCCTCCACTTACATGCTGATGCTTGAAGAGTCGACTCATTGCCTCGCAGGACTTCTCAATGCAATCCCTATTATGTTCCATGCAACGCTTTAGCGGCGCAATGCATTCCGTTTGCGATATGGCGCTCACGCAGAACTGTGGAAGGAGAAGGGAATTAATTTGAAGGGATCAGCCAGTGAGTCCCAGTGGAAACCCACCTCCGATAGCGACAGCTGATGTAATACTGATAGCGTGTTCTTTGGCTGCACTGAGAGCAGATTAAACAGTTTCGGTATGTGTCCCAGCACGGGAATCTCGTCCGCTAGATTAGGCTGCGACCGTAGTAGTTCCACAAGCGCCGTCGTGGACAAGTCCAGCACGTCCTGTTCCGTCGAGCTCTTGCTGATTTGTTCCACAACATAATCCAAGAGATCGGACAGAAACTGTTTGGGTTTGCGCAGCGTCCAAGCCGGATTGCTGACGAACAGGCGCAAATAGACGCCGGCAACAACAATTTCGTTGGACAACAGATCCTTCAGCATTTCCGGGTCCTTCCACAGGTACCGCGGATTTGTCTTCTGCTGCTGGTAGAATCGCTTACAGGTCTCTGCCACGGCCTCGCAGACACTCGAGCGCGTATCGTCGTTCCAAATCAACTCCGGGTGCTCGTGTATGGACTCGAACAGCTGTACAGAGGTCGCCGCGGATTCGATCATGGCATCGATGAAGAGCCCGGGTAAGAATTTGGATATAGTGATCCGCACCTTGGGCCCACTCAAGCGGTCCGCTGTCATTTTGGCTAAGATCTCGGCGCACATTTCGCGTATCTGCGGATTGCGTGAATTGCAGAACATGTCCAGCAAGTAGATGACGGCGCCCTTCGTCTGCGCCTCTTTAATCATCTCCTGGACGTTCATCAGGCCAGAGAGCGTCTCGAGCACTTTCACCTGGCTGGCCCGCAGCTCGGGATCCCTGAGTGCCACCAAATAGTTGCCCAGTATCTCGCAGGCAGCTACTTCCGAGACGCACTCCTTGTTCCGGGAAACCAGAGCAACGACCTCCAAAGCCACAGCCTTTACACTGGAACTCTGCAAGGGTATCGAAAAGCGAGATTAGCTATAGCAATGGCAATGGAAGGGATGCCTCGTCTGGCACTTACATCTGCGAATATATTGTTGGCCAGGAAGCCAAATATCATATCGAAATTGCCAATGCATTGGATCTCCACCTCGGCATTCGCCTTGATCACAGCAATCAGGGCCCGCAGCACCATCGTGATGTGCAGCTCCAGCTGCGAGTCGTTGGCGTAGTCGTATTGGGCCTGCTGCAGCGACAGCTGTCGCTCCACCTGTGCGTCCGTTTCCAGCTTCTTGCGACTCTTCGAGCGATTGTAGGCAGTCAGCACCTCGTCGAAGGTGCCGCCAGTCTTGACCTCCAGTTGCTGCTGCTGCTGTTGGAGCTGCGGATGATTGGGTGCCAAGGTGGGCGTTAAGATGCCATCGCTGCCCATCCTGGGCCCTGCTGCTGGTGCTGCAGCTGTGGCTGCTGCTGCGGCTGGTGGCGGCAGCTGTTTGAACTGCAGATATTGATAGGCATACTTTAAGTACTCCAGCAGATCCATAATGAACTGCTTGGGCTGGGCAATCGGATACGTGGGCATGTCGTTGTAGATTCTGATGAAGATGCCTCCAATCTGCAGCTCATCCCTGAAATAAATGAAGTATTATGGATATGTAGATTATAGTCAAGCCCGAGCCACTCACTTGTGCGCATCGAATTCGAAGCTGGAGACCAGCTCGTAGACCTGAGCAATATCCTCGTGCGTCTCCTTGGCCGAGGCCAGGCGCTGCTGCTCAAGAAAGTCCTTGAGCTGAGCGCGCGTTGCATTATCCCAGATGAGATAGGGGTTACGAGTGTTGGCCGTCAGCAGCTTCAGCACCTCGCTGTCCCTGGCCGTCGCCAGCTGGTTGGCAATGTAGCGCGTGAGCAGCCGCTCCAGCACCTGCCGGATCAGCATATTCTTCGCCTCGCCAGTGACAATGTACTTCTGCTGAATGGAGTTGGGCTGTCGCTGCTGCTGCTGCTGCTGTTCGCTGTCTGTGGAGCTGTTAGTGTCGCTGCTGACGCTCGAGTCCTGCTTGGTGAGCGCCGGCGACTCCTTCTCCTTCTCCTTGCTCGTAATGGCCAGCTGCTTGCTCTGCAAGGGATTGTGTGCATTCTGCATGTAGGCCGAGTTGGTGCTGGAGGCCGAGGGCTTCGGCTTGATGGCGGGCACTGCCGGCTTGGCCGCCGGATTGGCCGGCGAGCTGGACTCGCTGCCAGTGATTGGCTTGTTGCGCAACTCCATGGTGTAGCCGGCCAGAGCTATGCAGCCGAGCACAGCCATTTTGGCCAGGTTATTGGCCAACTGCTGCTGGTTGCTCTTGTCGCTCACCTCGACCCCGCTCTCGTCCAGCGTGTAGTCGTACTCGAACATGAAGAGCAGCAGCGACCAGAGCACGCCATTGCGCGCCAGATTGCACTGCAGGTCGTAGTTGTTGGCCGCCAGGCTGGTCACCAGGCTCACCGAGAGCGTGTGCTTGAAGTAGACCACGCGACAGACATCGGACAGCAGCTGGGGCAGCTGTATGATCTTCTGCTTGCACTTCTCAAAGTTGCAGGCGACCTCGAAGCAGCGCGTCACGTTCGATATGACCTGGTAGTGCAGCGAATCAGGCTTCGAGTCGACGCCCAGGATGGAGACGCAGCGCGTGTAGGCCTCTAGCAGCGCCTCGATGCCCTCCTCGCGGCGCAGCTCCTCGGCATTGAGGGCCGAGCAGTGCACCGTGTGATAGCAGAGCTCCGAGGCGGCTGTCAAGAGCTGCGCCTCCTTGGAGAAGAGCTCGTCGTCGCGGGTCTCCAAGCGTATGGTCTTGATCAGCTGTGGGTAGCCGGCGTACTTATAGGGACGCAGCACTGCAAGCACACAGGAAATTAGATAAGACAGAGATTGGAATAGGACTGATGGAACTGACCGTCGGCATAGCGCTCGAAGAGAATGCTTTGGGTGCGCAGTATGAGCACTATATTGTTGGGGTCCGGGCCTCCCGAGCTCCAAACGGAGCGCGAGCACAAGAACTCATAGGCCTGATTGACCTTCTCGAAGATCTCGCGCCCATTGGGATTCTTGTCGGGGTGATACATCTGGGCCAGCTTGTAGTAGCTCTTGCGTATCATGGACTCATCTGGCTTGGGCACCTTGTTCAGGTCGATGCCCAGATCCTGGTAGGCTTGCTGTATGGTCATCTGTGGCGGCTTCTTCTCCACCTCCTTGCGCCAGGCATCCAGCGTGTGCTTGAGCAGCTGCACCGGATCCGCGATGGGCCAGTTGGGAAACTTCTGAGTGTCGCACAGGTGGCGCAGGTAGTAGATGTGACAGAAGAGCTCGTTCTCCAGCTGCGGATAGCTAATGACGGGTATGGCCAGGTAGGGATAGCGGGCCATCGTATGACCACGCAGACGCGGCGTAAAGTCGGCAATGTGTGCGGCAATCTTCTCGATGAGCAGCCGGCGCATCTCCGAGCTCCAGATGACCTCGGGTGTGTCGAACTCTCCGAGAAATATCTCAGCGAACTTCTCGGCACTGTAGTTCTCGAGAAAACAGACCATTGCCTCCGGCAGCAGCTGGCCGAGAATGCTCCGATGCATGATGCCCGACTGAGATGTCTGAAAAGAGAACAGAGTTTACTCTGAGTCTGCAGTTGCCCCATCCCGACTCACCTCCTCGCTGCGAAAGCCCTGCTTCATGTGCGTCATCTTCAGGAATCGCGTTATGGGCAAGATGTTGCTGCCCGTGTACATGAGCATGAAGTAGAAGACGCCGGTCATGTACACCTTCGGCATCTCTGGATTGTCCTCCATGATCTGGCAGAGCAGCGTGGCCACGCGCTCCAGCAAGCCGGGATCGTGGGTCAGGCACACCTGCACCACGTGCGGCAG